TCGATATAACGAGATAATTAAGTCGTGATCACGAGAAAACAACTTTCGTTATGTCGAGATCACAAGAAAATATTAAAGTCGTGATAACGACAAAAACAACTTTCGTTATCTCGATATAACGAGATAATTAAGTCGTGATCACGAGAAAACAACTTTCGTTATGTCGAGATCATGAGAAAATAATTTAAAGACACACAAACTTGTAGTAGGTTCCCATAGTGACAAGAATAACTTACTACAGGTAAGATATAAAAAAAAACTCCATTAATACAAGTACAGTACAGCACACAATTTATTTAGATAAAAAAATATTATAATACACCAAAATAGTTTGCTGTTCCAAAGTTTATAGTATATTCCTAGTGTCCAGACTGACTTAAAACTAGAGGTCGACCAATTGATTGGCTGGCCGATTAAAATTTTCTCACAAGGACCTGGAATCAGCCTAATGCATAATAACCACTGGATTATGGACTGATAATAATGATTTTTAATATTATTTTTCTTTTATTAATATATTTATTAATAATATAATAATAACCACTATCACATATCTTGTTTACAATATTTCTTATTTAAATTCAAGTGAGCGTTATAAGTGTTTGTCGTTATATCTTTCAAAGACCTTGGTGCACAGATTGCTCGTTTTGTCAATTGTAAAAAAAAAAAAAAACATTCCGGCGGGAAAACATTAATCGTTTTATCCTTCCACATGTACTTTGTAGACTAGAGACTTTATTATGAAGGTAAAATGACGTCAAAAAGATTTGCATACGCAGGGTAAGAGTTGTGGAAGTGTACATAAGACTGTAAGCGTAAATTAAATTTGCATGCGCAAGAGAAGCTTTGTAAAGGTGTAAATCGCGTTTCAAGCGCAAGAAAAAAATATTTGCAGCATTTTACTGTTACTCGTAAGTGTAATTCATGTATTGTGAAACTGCAGCTTCATGCTAACGCAAAATAAATATGATCTGCATGCTTCTGACTTCCATTTTTCCGCGCTTA